GTTTTGTCAGAAATTGCTGAGCGATTAGTTTTGACATCATGAACAGCTAGCATAAAAATTATACATATTGTCTGGGCACAAAAATCAGTTAAAGGGTTGAGAAGCAGAAATCAGACTTAAGTTGTTTTGACATAATAATACCCCACCAATCGTCATGTTGAGATCTACATTGTGGTGAAATGTCACGTTGATACATTAATATTTTGCAGAATTACAGCGTGTTGAATAAGCATAAAAAAGACCTAACTCAGACTTAGGTTGTTCTGCCTCTGAACGGGCCTGACTCGCAAACATAAAATATGTTATAATTTCACATCATGTTTTTCAACAGTGTATCTAGTAGTAGTATCTAGCACATCAAAGAGCGTAAAGTAGATCGGTAAATTGTCGAGAATGATCATATGTAATCTCAGCTAATAGTACTGACTATGGTACAATTCCGCTTACATATGAATTGTTGTGAAATTACAGCGTGTTGAATAAGCATAAAAAAGACCTAACTCAGACTTAGGTTGTTCTGCCTCTGAACGGGCCTGACTCAGGTCTTTTTGCCTCAAAACTCTTCAAAACAAATCTGGGGAGTACATGTCACACTGAAAGGAATCGCTGAGAAAATTACTAAAATACTTTGATTCTTTCAAATATAAGTGTCAGAGTCTACTATAAAAGTGATTTTGTGTGAAAATAAAACATCAAACATACTGAAATGTCTAACAAAGACTCACTGACTTGGTTGACAGATACATGATTGCTGCATTCAATCAATATAACAAACGATCTGTAGACGTATTTGTGTATGCAACCTTCCAAACGGTGCATTACCAAGAGGTACTTAAACACACTGTTGGTCTACTTTTAGGTTATAGAATTCTTCATGCTAATCTGTGAAAATGTTAGAAATAGGTGGGTTGGAGTTATCAAAGGCAAACATAAAATATGTTATAATTTCACATCATGTTTTTCAACAGTGTATCTAGTAGTAGTATCTAGCACATCAAAGAGCGTAAAGTAGATCGGTAAAATGTCGAGAATGATCATATGTAATCTCAGCTAATAGTACTGAGTATGGTGCAATTCCGCTTACATATAAATTGCTGTGAAATTGGGGAGACTGAAGCGGGGAAAATTTATACGATTTATGACAGGCGAATGTTATCATTTGAAAACAAAATTATGAGTCAGTTTTCAGACACTCTCTTGGGAAGACGTGAATTTATCTTAGGGCATCATTTTTTGTGATTCACGTAGCCACCAAATTCTGAACATGGGTCGATCGGTCGGGGATAAATAAGAATGAAAAAAGATAAAAAGCTTAATAAGGTCAAAATTATCTGGTTAAATTTCTTGATTCTCATTTATTGAAATTCTTATTACGATTTCTCGCGTTCTTTGGACTTGTGGCAGCAACTGATTATAAGATAAACATTTTATATGACGAGGCGGGACGTATTATTTTCGAGTGGGCTGTGCTGGAATGAAAAATAAATGGGGGGCTTGGGGGTTGGGGAATATAATTTTGAAGGGTCGGTCGGGCGATGAGAAACACAAAAGTGAAAATGCTGCCCTTACCATTCCTTGATATTTCTACAAAGGAAATTTAACTCTACTTTATAACACAGTGTGACGTTCGTAATAGGCGCCAACATTGCCCACTGGTCAGTACTACATGTTGTCGGTGTGGGAGGCATGATTACACAATATACAGTTAAAACAAATTATAACGACCAGACTAAATGCGTCTTAAAACGTCCGGAAAATTGCGCATACATCTGTTTTTGTCGCGTTTAACGCATTATACATATAATTTGTCGAAGTACATTATTATTAAAACATTAACATGAGGCAGCATAAATATTTGATATGCACCAAAACAATGGAGAGCAGAACAATCATGTCGATGCAGCCTCAGTGTCTTAATTGGTTATTGTCGATGTGACCTTAAATGTTAACTCACTTACTCCCGCTCTCTTAATTAGTTATAGAAAATATTGCAGTTTCATATGAACAGGTAAATGAATGGCGATATATTTTAATGTCATAAGTACAACTGACGATATTAAAGGAGAATACGAGTGAATTGCAATAATTCGATGAGTGAAAGATAAAGTCATCAGAAACATATTCCCAAATTTTCAATTAAAAATTATGTATAATTATGTTTTAATCGCGAAAACAATTTCTGTAAATCTCAGCTTCGGCCATAATGCATATTTCGCTGGAACCCACGTGACCTTTCCGCTCGTGACGTCAAATGTGCCTGGAGTCCACCATATAGCCAAAGACCAAGCGCTACAGTAGTACAAATCGTGTTGTTTCTGTTGTTTTTTTAAATGGTACGATAGTGTATTGCGTTGCCTCTGGGATGCACGGCATCATCGAACATGGGAAAGAACCACCATTTCTTCCGTTTTCCAAGTGAAATGCCAGATTTCGGCAGGAGAAAAGCGCCGATCATTCCAAGTCGGACGCATATGAAAGAGACATGCACGCATGGGGTATGGAAATCCCCAAGCTAGGCTGAAGAAGGAAAAAGTACCCACGAGATTCATTAATTATACTCCATCATTCCCTGTAACAACTTACTGTCAGTGGTATTTTTAACATAAATTAAATCAAGTCCGATTGCCAGTCGAATTGCCCCCGCTACAAAATGACCCAGCAAATTTGGTCAAATTGCCCCAGTAGGGTTGTCAAAATGCCCCAATTTATTTAAAATGAATAAATATAGGCCATAAATGCATAGTTTTGTCAGCTTTGATATTATGTTCTTCATATATAAGTATATACATAGTTATGAGTTTACTGATGAAACATTTATCAGAAATATTACTTCCTAATAACTTTTATATGAAGAACATAATATCATAATAAGTTGACAAAAACTATGCATTTACGGCATATATTCAATCATTATAAATAAATTTGAACAAATTATAATAAACGACCAAATTTGCTGGGGCAGTTCGACTGGCACACGTGAGATATATATTATCAAAGTCAGTAAGAGATTTCACATGAGCTTGAAAATGTTTCGCTATAACGTTTTTTCGGTTTGGAGCCCTAAATGATGCAGTCAACTCGAAACATTGCCGAATACAACGGCAAATCATGAAGTACTTGTTGCTTTCATTGTTTTCCATTTTGTCCAATTACACACGTCGGCATCAGACTCGCTATTTGTCAGTAGTGTGTGCCGTGAAAGTTGTTCCGTATTCTCATTGGATGACAGGATGTCATTCTAAGGCTATGAAAGAGTACCATAACTATTTCCATAACCAAACAATGGGGAAACATACGTTGTCCTGACTAGTATTTTATGATTCACCAGTTTCCGGGGAATAACTTATCTGCGTCGCGAATATTATCTCTGCTCGACCAGGCTGGGATCTTGTATCGAGACTTGATACGTTATTAATGAGAACTAGGATCCTAATTTTTTTCAAGAAAAATAATTCCAGTGTAATTTTTGAAGCAGATAATTACTATTTTTCCATCGTATGAAGCATAATTATTTTGTTTTTAAATCCCAGACACCCTACAGTCACCCATTTGACACAAAATAAAACTGTAATCACATTTTTTTTTAAATAATTCTTAGTTACTGGTCATATATTTATAGGGGTGAGTTTGCTGGCTGGAACTGTATGACATTTTGCTGACAAATAGTAATCTTGTTAAATTATATGGTCTATTTTTAAATTTATTTAGACCTCAAGCGGTGCCTCCGTTTCGCTTGATTCTTCTTCTTCATCTTCAGTGGAAGATTGTCTTGCAAGATGTAAAATCGGATCGTATTGATACGGTCTAACATCCATTTCAGAAATGACTTCAGGAACATCTTTTACTGCTTCAGAATCCACGGACACTGTTAAGTTGTGAGGTAAAATCAAAGAGGAAGCCATCAGCAACAGGCACGTATGACGTCATGTCACGTGATACCCCCTCTGCTCATTAACTGTCGGGTGTTTCCGTAATACTCGTACGAGTACGTTTTTGTGTTTTTATTGCTATTTCACAAACTTTGTGTTCAATTTTACTCACGGAATGTGACTTTTAGAATATCCTTTACAATATATCAAAAGTTTTGTTTTCGTTCGTATTCTCCTTTAATGAAAATGATTCATTCATTCACTTATTTATTTGTCTTGTTCATTGAATTTGTTTATGTCGTTTTATAGACAAGGCAATGATACATAATAATTGGCCAGGAGAGCTTTTGTCACTGACGTTTTCACTGTCAATGTTTTCGATAATCCTTTAAATTCAGCAAGATTTGGCCGAATATTAAAAGAAAACACAGAAAAGGAAAAGTGGCAAGCATAACTAAGAACTGCACGTGCCTTCAGAATGGTGTGGCTCTGTTGACATGTTTCCGAAAAATTTCCTTCTAAACTTATATTCTCTGCCTACAAGACGAAATATATCCCATGCTGATTATTTGTAACATAATGAAATATAATGAGTTTCACAAACACCTCACAATGTTACAGTAAGAGCAGTCAAAATGATACAGAAATGCTACATGCGGCGGTATCATACTGCATGAAATGGTGCATTTCCATGAGTTCCCTCATGTCTGGAATAAGTCTGGATTATTGGATTCCATGCCCATAGGCGACATAAACTATGGAAAATGATATTGGCATGTGCAACTATATCTTTATGTGACTAATATTTGGAATGTGTAGTCATAACATGAAGTATTTACATGTATTTATAATGGTGCTTGAACATTGAATAAATGCATTGTATCTATATGGTTTGATACAGGTCTCACATTAATGGAAATAGAAACGACCACGCCTCAACTGTTTCAATAGTGCTTGAAGGTGATGCAGATGATATTATTATTTACACTTATTCTAAATATGACAAAATGGCATTGGGAATGTTTGTCTGTCCTACAACATACCTCTTTAGTTCTAGACGTTTAAAATATATTGAACATACATAATATCATAGACAGTGTTTGTGTACAGTATAACATGTTAATATGGGTGAGGAGATCCAGTGTAATATTATTTGACAGTGTGCAATTTAGTTATTCCTGACGTTAATTGGTCGATGGTATATTTGTACATTTTCATTGGTTGTCGGAACTATTTTCACACCACTACGTTCATTCATAATATTTCATCGGTTCATTGACAGATTGACCGTGCTGCAATGTCACTGATTCGAAATTTTAAAATAAAACACCAAACAAACAAAAGTATACAGGATTTCAATTTGATGCTAATTTCATGCTTTATTTTTTTCTTCATTACCAATACAGCGTCGTTTATGTTTTGTAATAAAACAAGTGTCTACAATTGATTAATCGTCCGGTTCTATTGTAAACAAACATGGCTACCCAGTTAACTCGAAATAAAGTCAATGACCTGGTCAAGGTGGACGGGGACATTACTGCACGAGTAACGAGAATAATACAACCGCTACATTCCTTTTACGTGTATGTGATTAACACTGAATATGGTGAAATGGAAGTCGCAAGGCATAGACTGAAAGTGTTGCCGAAAACGATATCGATCGAGTCGGCTTCTCACCAGTTCCCACTTGCCTGAAAGTGTCATAAATGACTTACTGCAAGATGATTTTGGACCCTCCAAACGAAAATAAAACTTCTGACAGGTTTGTTCGTGTTTTTGACCATGACATTGACAACATTTTGCCTGCGAACGAAAACGAAAACACAATGAAAAAGACACAAAATGGACACGAATCTTGTTTATAGATTTCTCAGCGAGAGTCTTATTGATCCAAAAGAGCTTGAAGACATTGCCCCCATGAACACTATTCTATATAAATACATGTATGTCGTATCGGCAAGAAAATCTGATGGTTCGGAGTATGAACCGTCTTCCCTCCAGGGAATAAAGGGTAGCGTTGAACGCTATTTGTGTTAGCTGAGTCAATGCATTTCATGAAACTAAGAGAGGTTTTGAAATCAAAACTTAAGTCGTTAAAAAACCAAGGTAAAGGAAACCAGTCCGTGCTGATGCTGTATCCGACACTGAATTACAGAAACTCTGTCATTGTGGCCAAATAGGCATTTTAAACACATTATGGTGGAACAACCCAGTTTACTAGTATTTTGGCTTGAGATCGGGAACCCCCGCATAGGCGTATGTAATGGGGTGATGTAACAACTAAGAGTTGATTCAGAGAACCGTGAACATCTCCAGTATATTGAACAGCAGTCAAAAAACAGCCAGGGTGATGAGTCTCGCGATCTTGCTCCTGAAGCATGGGCACAACCTGGGGATCTGTGTTGTCCAGTCACTGTTTACAAGTCGTACCGTGACTTGAGACCATTAAACTTCTCAAACGATGGCCATGAATTCTATTTGGCAACAAACACCCAGTTTGGAGTACGAACCGGGAATACTTGCTTTAAACGTCAACAGTTGGCAGAAATAACTTGGGATCACTAATGAAAACAAGGGGCTTTCTAATGACAAACGGTTCTAGTCCAATCAAAGGGCTTGATTCGACCACACACCCGTTTTGTGCGGATATCTCGTCATCCATTTGTGTCAAGATCGTTTAGTTGAGGGTCAAAATCGGTTTCAATCGACTAGCAGAAATAACAATAAAGAATGTGTAGGTGGCATGAGTGGTGATCGATAGGCCAATCTTCCATGATTGTATTTACCTTAAGTTTTAATCGATTGCATGCGATGGTAGCGCAGCGATAGGCAAAGCAGGCGGGTAGGGTATACCGAAGTGTCCGGCCTTGTCATAATGTATTGTGCTGTGAAGTATTTCGAGTCAGGTGTCATCTCAAATTTTCTTTATTTTTCTGAACATCTTTAATCCTCGCAAAGACACGATGGCCTGTGTTCTCAACCAGGAGCACAGCCATTCTGACACTCTTGGTAATGCAGAAGGTTGCAATGTAGGGGAAATTCCATATGTTCCGGAAAGTTCTTGGTGGGTTTGACTAGGCTGCGCTCCCTGGGAGAAGTCCCATTCGCTGTCTGGGCTGCGTGTAGTGGGGGCAATGGCCCTGAGCTGATGATGAGCCTTACCAGCCTGACTGTGCCATGATCACCCGAACCCTGTCTGCTGGATTCTAATTTTAATCTGTACAACATAATAATGTATAATTCTATTTCTTAAATGTCCACCCTCTAGTACATGCACATGGCGTAAGTTGCACAGTAAGTTTATTGGGAGCTCCTGTAACTTGCAAAAACCTGCCACCCATGCTCGGGTTGTTTGTGACGAGTGTGGACATGATTTGGGATTTCAAAAGGCCTTCATTTTTACTTGGTGACGGCATCCCTCGAGCATCCTTATACGCGTACAGTAGAGTCACGCTACATGATTACCTTTTGTGTGCACTACCTGTATATCTGGTGCAGAAATCTTTTATGATGATAGAGGTTGTAGGCTCAGACAGCCGGGCTCATGATCATTATGGGAAAAAGGATAATTGCTCTTCTAATGGAGATTGAAAGATAGATGGGGGAAAATGAATATTACATGATTTGCTCACTCCATTAGTAATATATAATTAATGTAATTATTGATAAAGTAAGCGATATTAGCCTATTATCGAATAGAGACGCGCAGAAAATACACATACGCGTACATGTATCACAGCAAATTGCTGACTGTAAATGCCGTCCGTTTGGTGATATTGGGCATTTAGTTTTTCTGGACAACAATATTTCAATTGAAAATTACAGTAGATTAAACGAAACGTACCTGTAAGTTGAGCGTTGATGAAGACTATATGAATAATCACACGTTGGAGGGATCTCGTGATGTAGCGAAGCGAACCCAGGAGTAATTTTGAAAGCCTGAATACACCGAGTGGGTGTTCATTGGGAGCATGTGATTCAACCAATCACGACGTATATCGTGATCACGTGAGATGTTAAAAGCAATGGGTTTCAAACAATCAGCAAAACACGCAGTTTAGGAACGGGGTTTTACGTCAGAAAGAATCATATATATTTATAGGGATCAGAGCAAACATCCGACATCAGTCAGATCAACAAAGCTGAAAGCTGGGGTAAAGCTGAACATATTTAAAAAAGAAAACTAACTGGTAGTTAACAGTGAAAATGAGAATAAATGAATAGCAGTCTTGTTGTATATAGACCCGTGAACATGCAGGTTAGAATTGGGCTTCAGCAACCCGTGTTTGTCGTAAGAGGCGACTAAGGGGATCGGGTGGTCAGGCTGGCCGACTAGGTTGACAAAAGTCATCGTATCCCAATTGCGTAGATCGATGCTCATGATGATCACTGGGAGAGGGCGTTCCTAAGTTGGAAAATTTGTCCCCAAACCATTTCATCTTTGAATATATTAAGTTTAACACTGGATCGTGTGGTCCAGCTTATTTTTCAGACCGCAGCCACATAGGTCGAATATTGCTGAGTGCGGCGTTAAACAACATACCAACCAACCAACTTTTTATATTACTTCCCAAACGTTGTTGAGCTACTCAACCTGCAGTCAGTAGGGGCACGGAATGTTTTGATGCTGCACTAGAAGCTGCCAAGAGAAATAAATTATGGGGCCTTTTGCAAACTCATGGACTTAGTCAAAACATAAATAAACTTTTATGTAGTATATATGAAGATGTCAAAGTATGTGTAAGAAACAATAATGAAGTCTCAGAAAATTTTATTTGCCATTAAGGTGTCAGACAAGGCTGTATTTTAAGTCCCTTTCTGTTTACATGTTTTATCAATGAATTAGCTGCGCAAATATGTGATAACTGTACAAACGGGATCCAGTTACATCCAGATTTAACTCAAACTCATTGCAGATGATATTGTCTTATTTTCTAGCACCATAGTTCTACATCCAGATTTAAATTTATTCTGATGAATGGAATTTGACAGTTAATAGGAGTAAAACACAGGTTTTAGTATTGTTTTTACTTTCATGGATTTACAAAGGCGAAAAACTAGATACAAACGATATAAATGTCTTGGAGTCTATTTCTCATCATCTTCTTGGATTAACCACATAAAACAGGCGTCTGTACAAGCCCTTAAGGTTTTGATAAATATAATTTGAAAAATCCATATTTTTGGGGAAATATCATATAAATCATTCTTTAAAATATTTGATGTTAAAGTAAGCCCAATAATATTACATGGATTAGAAATATGGGGTTTTAATAATTGTGAATCTATAGAAAAAGTCCATTCATATGCATGCAAAAAATATCTGGTGTGAAATCTAGTACATGTGGTAGATTTCCATTATACATATATTCTACTATTAAAGTTATAAAGTACTGGTTACGATTGTTATCTATGCCACGTCATAGATGTCCGAAGAAATGTTATGATATGACGATAACATATGATAAAAATGGGAAAAGAAATTGGGTAACTAATGTAAGGGAACTTTTATTCAAAACGGGATATGGTTATGTTTGGAACAATCAAAACGCCCAACCAAAAGACATCTATCAACAAACATGGCGTGAATCAATCTATCTGTCCTCTAAATGCCCGCATTATAAACATTGGAAATCTGATCTATGCCAAGAATATTATTTATCAAAAATCCCTGTAAAGAAATTCCGTGTAGCTTTATCCCGTTTTCGCTGCTCATCGCACGAGTTGTTTGTTGGAAACTGGGCGTTACATTAATATTCCTCGCAATCATAGAATTTGCAACCTCTGTAACGTTAATGCTGTAGAAGACGAATACCATTTTCTGTTTTTCTGTCCCAGCTAGGAAAACCTTAGAAAGAAATATTTAACATACTACTATTATATCCATCCAAATGAAATAATAATGACTATATTATTAACAAATGAAAATACTATTGAATTACAGAACCTGTCCATGTATATCTATTTTGCATTTATCTTGCGAAGAGGCAAGCATGCATAAAGAAGAAACGAACAATGATTTGGAGAACAAAGGGCGCAGTTTATTACAAACACAGGTAGGGGCGGCAACCCCCCGACAAGACAATCCCAAATGTTGCTTACCCTAAAGCTTTAAATTAGTGAGAACAAATGTGTGGAAGGGGAGCCCACATACACACGCATTTATCTCTGCCAATGCTCTTAACCCTTAAAGAGACCCTCAAGGAAGCCGCCAGCTATCCTTAGCAATATGACAGTGAGAGTATTTGAGTGCAAGGGGAGCCCACATAGACACAAAATACTCTCGGCCAAAAGCCCCGTATACAGCGACTTGCTATCGAGGGCGGCCACATCGATAGCGAAGTGCTTGTATGAAACCCTTCCCTGGAAATAATTGTATACACGGGGACCACAGTGATACAATAATACTTATATTTGCAATAGCAACAATAGCATTTGCCGAGAGGCTGCCGCTACAAATCGAGTACCTACGAGATAACGCCCTAAATGATACTTATTGATATTTAAAGGTCACATGCAACCAAAAAATCAAACATAATTAAAACACAGTTATCACTTATTCATGACATATAATATACATTGCTGGTTATGAAAAAACACATAAACAAAATTATAAGCGTACAATCGCAAATCAAAAGTGCAATAATTTGTACTTCGGTTTACTTCCCAAGAAACGAAGCAGCCGGGATACCGAACCCAGTCAGAGCGGGTGGGTGTGCACTCAAGTGTAATGGCTGGTTCATTTGCAGATGCCCTCACGGCTCATTGTGTGTGTATATATAGAGATGTTGGGTTTTGTAAATACATGCTGATTTTTTGTGTATAACATTTTGCAATCAACAGACATCAAAACATGTCATGTGTACAAGTATCACACCTGCCTGTCTGTGTAATTACATAATGTGACAGACACCGAACTCGGGCCATAAATCAATGCGTTTTGTTTATGGTGTATATCCTGCTAGGTGTTAAGTTCAAATTGCATGTGGTCAGTGATTGAAATTGTGTATTGAATATTGTCATTAGCAGACAGGCAGGCAGACACATAGGCGTCAATAAAACAGACATTGAGTTTTGACTGTGACAACGACATATCTATATCACAGTTAGAAATTCTGTCAACGCTAAATAATGACATTGCTTTTAAGTATCGAACTGAGAAAGTGACTCGGTAAGAAGAACGTGTGGTGAAATAGACAAATGAAATTATATAAACAGTTAAATCGGTAATCTACTGTAATAACATATAAAAAGCTCGCGCTTGTGAAATATCAACAAAACATTAGAAAAATAGCTCACACCAAAGCCATCACCGAATATTCACCGGACAACCCGCTTCCAAGCTCCGCGAACCTATTTTACTGCGCATGTGCTATGAACGCAGCCCAGCTGTTGAAACCACTTCAATTCCTCCAAGCGCTGGGGGAAAGTTAGTGACTCGTTTGAACTACGATTTCGCGCGTTATTTTTCTACTTTATAAGTTGAATTTGCATTTTTGATGATTTGTTTCGGTAAGTCCATACCGAAAGGTATCAGAATCTGCAAAGTTGTGTTTTACGTTGCATGTGACCTTTAATCAAATATATGAAATGGAGTTTCCTTAATCGCATTAAGGAACAGTGCCGTTCCTACATCCGACAGATGACATCATCTTGTCAATACAGCCCGGAGTCTCCAGGGACTATATCATGTTTGACTACTTTACAGCCTAGTTGAGAAACTGTGAACGTTGCCCGCCGGTTGAGTCGCTTCCGCTTCCTTTCCGCTGCTGCGGCGTCGTCTGCTCCTGCCCACATCCGCCTGGGGTTAGCATCTCCGACTAGACTAGGACGGTGTCAGGCAGCAAAGCCTGTAGATTGTGTAGATCTTGAATGACGGCCTTTCCTAGAACTGATCCCGGCGTGCTGGTCAAGTCGTTGGACCCCAGGTGTATCATGAGTACATTCGGTGGTGGAGTAGATCTCAGCTTGTTCCGTACCGTAGTTTCAAGTTCCGGCCATTTCATTCCCCTCTTCGCGATCCATTTAACGATGATCCCCCGCTGCTCCAATCCAAGGTCCGGGCTCAATCCCAGGATCCTGGCCTTCCGCTGCCCCCAGTAGATATAGGATGAACCCAGGAGCCACACTGCAATGCTTAAACTTTGGTTAGGCACAGTCACATAGGTTTATTCTAATATACCTCCTGAAGGCGTCAGATTTCCACCGACCCCTCTATATTATCTAAACACATGCTCGGTTGGGATGGGCCAGGAATGACCGAGCTTGAACTGATCTCTAAAGTTTTCAAATGAGGAAATACCTTGGGCATAAGCACGTTTAGTGTTATCTGACAATGACGAGTCTAACAACCGCTTCAAATGCCGCCATATCATGTCGGGTATTTTGGTTGGGTGCTTGTCGGCATTTGGTGCCAGTCGGCGAAATTGCTGAAATTTAGAGCGAGATAGACAGTCAGACACGCTATTGAGTTTACCTGGGATATAACGACCTTTTATCAACAAATTAAGTTGCATACATCGCAATGTAAACCACCCAACGAGGCCCATTACCCGGGGAGGTGGAAGAGACTGTGTTTAGAATAGCCATGACACCTTAGTTATCCGAATTGAAAATGGGTTTTCGAATGTCTGAGACTTTCGCCCCAAATGAGCACAGATAGCAGTACTGGGAAGCATTCCAGGAAAGTTATGTCTGTCGTAACCCTTACTGTGCCACGCAGACGGCCACCGTCCATGAGCCCACCTGTAGTTGTAATATAGGCCATAACACCCCCCGTTCCCCATCTGTATAGAGCTGTAGCGTATCGCTGTCATCCCACAGCATGTTGATGAAGAGTGTTATCCCATTGTGATGTTTCAGAAACGAGCGCCCTGTTAACAAGTCTTTCTTTACAGCGTTATTGAGGCGATTTCTGTGTGTCGGTTTAGAAATCCCCTTTGTAGTGTCTATAAGTCTTCTGATGAATGGTCGCCCCATAGGTATTACCCGGTAAATAAAGTTCAGTAGACCGATCAGCGATTGACCTTCCTTTAACTGAACTTTATTTCTCTTCACAAAATTGTTAATCAACTCGACGCATTTGCTGATTGTGTCCTCTGGAATGCGCGATTGCTGTTTGACAGTGTCTAATTCTGTACCTAAAAAGGTTAGTTTTGTGGTGGGTTGTACAGTTTTATCTCAACACTGAAGGAATCGAGTGCTAAGTAGCACGAGTTCGTACCCTTGCTACCACCAAACAAGAAATCGTCTAAGTAGTGAAGAACATTTGCCTGTCGGAACCTTTCTCGAGTACACCATTCCAGAAAGCTAGAAAACTTTTCAAATAACGCACAACAGCTTCTGCATCCGAAAGGTAAACACATGTCTACATAGTAAGTCGAAATCACTGTCTCACAGGTATTAACCGGAAAGCACTCTTGATGTCAGCTTTAGCAATAAGACCCGCACGCCCGATTTCTTGCAACATGAATATTGCATCATCGAATTTAGTGTAATTAACAGAGGCAAACTCGTCGCCAATAAAGTCATTTACCGAGGATCCCTGTGGAAATGATAGGTGATGAATTAATCGAAATTCGTCTGAATCCTTCTTCGGCACTAATCCTATTGGCGATATTCTGAGATTTGGTAAAGGTGGGGAGTTGAAAGGGCCTGCCATACGACCGTTCACAACTTCTTTTAACAGTTTTGACGAATAACTTCTGATTGCAATTGCGACTTGAAATGCCTGATTTGCGCGGGACGTTTAGTTTGCGGTTTGTTTACAGCAAACTGGGGAACTCCCTGTGGAATGATGTTAACAAGCCACAAATCATGATGGATTTTCGCCCAAGACGAAAAGGAGTATCTAGCCATTCTTGTTCTGAACTGGATATCATACGCTCGCCAACCGAATCCTCTAGAGGTACGGGAAGCTAACCCGATTGTACTGATACTTCAGTAATTGCTGATGCTTAGAGGGGTACCTCTCTAAGTAGATGCTAGCGAAATCTAAAAATGCAGTTGTCCATTCTTCAATACTGTCAATTTTCGGCACTCTCTTTTTGCAAAGTTCAAGATTCCCCTTAGAACTGAAAGTGAAATTTCTTTGAGAGTCATCCCAATTATCCGAAGTTTGACCTTTAAGTAGCAAGCCCAAATCGATGCATTCACCATTATCAATTTTTTCTTTCATATTTTGCGGGACGAGAGAACCTGAGCTATCATCGACGCATTCCTCGGCGTGAGATAGATCGAAGGCTGATGGCGGATTTTGAAGGTCATCTAGACGTGGTTGTTGGTTGTACATGTCTAGATCTACCGAAATAGCATTAGAAGAACAAGTCTCAGTGTCCCATGGGAGGTATGAAGCAACCTTGAAAATTAACAGTCGGGATGGGGGGATATCGTGTCTTTTGTGACAGTCTTGGAGTAGCTTATTGGACATGCCGGGAAAATTGCGAAATTGAGTTAAACTTTAACTCCCACACTCGCTCGTACACACGTCCAGTCGGAAATGTTAAGTCACTAACCAATTATTCATAACCGATATGCATGACAGCACGTGTATGAGGCGTATTTCTGCGCTTACTTTCACTGTGAACCCACGTGGGGTCTGTGGTTCACTTGAGATAGGTGGTGAGGGCGAACTGTCCTGTGAATGAAGCATTTGTACAATGGGGTGGGTTTTTTGCGTGTTTTAACAACATACTGACATGTTATATGTCGGGTCATTCTCACTTACCGACAACAGTTTTTGTTTTAGGGTCCCTGATCAGTGGAGCGAGGTAATCCCCTATAACAAAAGGTGCTCTGAGCTCTATTGGGCAGAAGTCCATACACTGAGGGCCGCATGAATAGTGTATATTTGTGCAAACACTGATGGACATTTGTCAAAAGTGCACAAAACCACACCTCTGCTTCTGACAGGAGCAGGCTAATTAGGTGAGCTAATCCTCCTGCTGGCCGGACTATATGTCACATGGATGAACAGTATTTGCGCAATCAATCAAGCATTTCTGTTAATCCCAATACGCTGCTGGGTGAACGAGAAGACCTCTATATGTCACCATACTGGTTTTGTTTGTTTGTTGTGTGTGCTTGCACTCAGCAATATTCCAGCTATTTGGCGCTACACAATATTGGTCTGTATGGCGCTACACAATATTGGTCTGTATCTGCAGCTACACAATATTGGTCTGAATCTGCAGCTACACAATATTGGTCTGTATCTGCAGCTACACAATATTGGTCTGTATCTGCAGCTTTTGAGAGCGACTTATTTTTTAACAGCAACAATGTAAACAGTACTCGTTAATTTTAATGCTTCTGTCAGTGATGGAATTATTCCGTTGTCACAGTAGGAAACGGTCTACATCTATTGCGAGGGAGACGGTGATGTTCCAAGACGTGTCCGACGTCAACCATAAACAATACCCAGTAGGTCATGGACTACGTACTTCTCTGCATCCCACGTAAGTTGGGCAAGCATATATTTGAACTGATTCAACCTCGTTGTGTTGAAACCCACGCTTCCTTGTGTCCACTACACACATATGTGCGCTTCAACCAGATTCACAGTAGCCATGCTCAGTGCAAATACTGCACCAAGTGCTGTTAATGCATTCTCCATGGGTAGCGTATCCAATGTAGTTCAGTCTCATCAAGGGTCAAAATTCATATCAGGGTGGTTTCAGCAGGTTATTAATGGGTTGTGAGTCACACAGGTCAAATATAATGCTTATCATTCTGAGTCACATGGTACATTTGGGTGATGTCATCAGACTCTTTAAATAACACATGAATTACTGCTTTGAAAGTGACTGACTGACTGAGTTTAGTTTTACGCCGCTTTTAGCAATATTCCAGCAATATCACGGCGGGGGACACCAGAAATGGGCTTAACACATTGTGCCCATGTGGGGAATCGAACCCGGGTCTTCGGCGTGACGAGCCAACGCTTTAACCACTAGGCTACCCCATCGCCCCGCTTTGAAAGTGAGGAAGAACGGGATGAAGGCATGCTCTTGTTGCTGTTTAATCAGTCTTTAGTTTTGAAGACCCGGGCTAGAATTGATCTTCAGAAACCAATGCTTGTCGTAAAAGACGACTAACGGGATCATGTGGTCAGGCTCTCTGACTTGGTTTACACATGCGGCGTAAAGCTAAACTCACTCACTCACTTAGTCTTGAAATGTTGTTGTCATCGACTTCAGGTTGACCGTATGAGTTACTGCTTTGAAAGTGAGGAAGAACGGGATGAAGGCATGCTCTTGTTGTTGTTTGTATTTTGTTTAGTCAGCGCTTGGTTCTGCAATGTTGTTGTCATCGACTTCAGATTGACTGCAATGAAAAATTAACATCAAGTGGCCAAGCAAAAAGATTGCGTGAAAGTCCGATTTCAAGCATTTCAAAACTGATAATTTCTTTTAGATAGGAATGTGTTAACGTTTACGAAGTTTGACCGTCAACCAAGTTTCTTTTCAGAGTTGAAACGATTCCCCGATTTACTCTGTGTTTGAATTTTACTGTGAAAGTGTAATGTATTTCTTACTCCTGGAGGTTTATACATGCAATTGTAATTACCGGGATGTGCCGTGTCATTATGGGTGACCACGACACACTCTGTATACATGGAATTGTCACGCATGATTCTGAAATATCCACGACAGTTTTGCATAATGTGAGTTTAGTGAGTGAGTGAGTGAGTGAGTGAGTTATTATTTAGCGTCACATCGGCAATATTTCAGCCATATCGTGACGAGAACAATCTAGTTTATATCACTATGAAAATCAATAAGGTTAGAACATAAATACCTGTCATCGAAGGACAGTAAAAATACTAGAACATCACAGCTATATAAATTTAAAACTAGTACGCTAACGTAAAATTAAATCACTATAGACAGTACAAAATAAGAACGGGCTATAGATCACCAAAAACTGAAGGTAGATCACCATACCAGGGACCATGGGGACCAACAGTACCTTTGCTACCTGCATGGACCCTAGCTGGATTTACACCATCCCTTCAGCCATTGGTGATTGAAGACAAATCTAGCCATAAATTAAAAGTACACATAATCTACGATTAAAAAAGTGGCAAATTTAAATTTACTTTAAATGTGTTGGGACTTACGTACCCTCTCAGGAGGACAATAATTTTACAATACTTCAACCCCCTTTTAGGGTACAGCCACTAACAATCGAAGCTGATTATCTAAACTACCAATTATAAAACTCTATCTATTTACAAAACATTAATATCAAAATTCATTTAACAAATCTATCTCTTTTAAAAAATCAATGATTAAATGATAATTAACAGTATTCAAAAGGTCCTTTACTGTTTTGATACTGAAATATTTATCCCTTATGATGGAGAATTCAACACAGTCAAGCAGGATATGCTTGACCGTGACTCTCTCATCACAAGGGATACAAAACGGAGGATCCTCGCCTTTCAATAGATAGACATGAGTATATCGTGTGTGGCCAATACGACATCGTCGCATGATGACCTCTTCTAATCTGGATTGACAACCCAAGTAGGTATAACCAATATAGGGTTTTATTTCATGTAATACGTTAATACCTACTTGGGTGTCCCACTTCTTTTGCATCAGATCACGGATGTAAGATCTAATGCTAGCTTTGTAATCAGAGTATGGAATAAGAAGTGGTGTCACAGATTTGTTGAGTGCTGCCTTAGCAGCAAGATCAGCAAGTGTTTCCCAGAAATGCCAACGTGGCTGGGTAACCAACAAAAGACGATGTCGCATTGGCCAGATTAGCTAAGCTCATTATATAATTCAATAATTTCTATTAAAAGTGGATGTTTACAAGAAAGATTTTTAATGGCCTGAAGACACGAAAGAGAATCGGAAAAGATTATGGATTGTTTATATTTACGGGGTTTATTAATATATTTAATAGCTGTCAATATGGCGTTAGCTTCTGCTGTGAAAATAGAGCTGTTATTGGGCAATCGAAAAGAAAATGTTTTGGATCCAATGGCAGTGGCACAAGCCACTGCGCCACCATCCTTGGACCCATCTTTAAATAAGGATTTGTATGTATTATATTTAGTTTTTAATTGATTAAATTCTTGTTTATATTGTAATTCATTAGTTTCAGATTTCTTAAACTTTGTCAGAGCTAGGTCAACTTCAGGCCTCACCAGTTGCCAAGGAGGAGAAGAAAGAAGACGGGAAGGAGCTATATTTTCCAGCTCAATGCCCGCAGCAGAAATGAATGGCTTAATTCTGTGCCCAAGAGGCGGAACAAGAAAACGTCTTTTGTTGTATAAATTCTCATAAAGAGGATTGAAAACACAGTTAAATGCAGGATTAGACTCGTTAAACTAGAGTTTTGTTATATGTAATGATAATTTGACACGACGTTGGTTAAGGGATGGCTCATCAGCCTAAACATAGAGACTATCAATAGGAGAGGTAGAAAATTTAAAGCCGTTTTCAAGACACCATTTATTTATTTTGCTTAAACAAAACTGCAGTTGCCTTTCAATGGTATGCATGTTTTTGCCACGACAAGAAATATTAAAATCCTCCGCAAATAATGATCCATCAACTGAATCATTTAAAACTTTTGATAAACTATTAATTTTGATACTGAATAATGTGACAGACAATATACTACCTTGTGGACACCCTGATCCTGATTATAATGGTAAGACAGGGTTGAACCCACTCGGACTTGAAATTGCCTGTCATTTAAAAAGTTGATTATAAATGGAGGCGGACGGCCTCGTAATCCAAAGTCATGTAAATCTTTTAAAATCCCATGTTTCCATGTTGTGTCGTATGCTTTTTCTAGATCGAAAAAGATCGACACTGCATGTTGTTTGTTAACTATGGCATTCTTAACAAAAGATTGTGAGTTTAGTATGTACACATTGACAACATGACAGGTGACGCATGCCTTTCAGAATGTGTGAGAGCTGTGCCTGTTTCACAATCTGGAATGCGAGTATCCTGGATATTCTCATGACAGCAGGGAGTAATCGGATACTCGTTTCAATATAATTACCCCCACGTGAACAGTTTGTCTGAGTGACAGGTGTTTGGTATGATAAACGCTGTTGAGACGTCGCCACACAATTGAGTGTTTTGCAAAAGAAACGATACATAACTGCATACATGTACTTGAGGAATTGACAATTGTATCGTTGGAGATATCGTTAGCGTGTTTCTCAAGTGGGCAGATAAAGACCTTTAGCACAAAGGTGAGCATGTCCAATATATTTACTGATTTGTTCCACAACCAATTTCGTTTTATTCGTTAATCGCAGGATAAAAAATGTATAATAGTTTGAGGAGGTAGGATTGCAGTTAGACCTGTGAAGATCCGGGTTAGAATTGATCTTCAGTAATCAACGATTGCCGTAAGAGGGGACTAACGGGATCGGGTGGTCAGGTTCGTTGACTTGGTTGACACATGCCGTCGTATCTCAATTGCACAAATTTAGTCAAGACTCGATTATTTATAGACCGCCGCCATGTAGTTGGAATATTGCTGAGTGTGGCGTAAAACTCACTCACTCACTCCGCAGTTAGAATGTGTGTGTGAGAGAGAGAGAGAGAGAGAGAGAGAGAGAGAGAGAGAGAGAGAGAGAGAGAGAGAGAGAGAGAGAGATTATACTTGGAGTCAGTTTTGTTGACTGATGTTATGTGTGATTACCTCCACCTGGTGCCTATAAATGTTCGGATGAATTGTTCTCCCCATTTGACGTCTCTGTACATTGTACAAACTTTCTCAAATTACTTTAAAACAAGAAACTAAAACGTCTGTTAAAACGGCCAAAGGTTCTGTTAAATAGGTTTTCAAGTTTTTTGATATGTTATTATTATAATTTCTATTATCCCCTGTTTGGATATAGTAATCAGCTTGTCTGTCCGTCTGCTAGTGTGTCCATAATGTTATACTGTGCGTATAGTATTTCTAAGCCTGATAGATTTTTTTTCATGAAACTGTGCTCAGACTCGAAGACCAGTCTGACAACTGGTGCCTTTTGCTATTTCGAGATGTTTCAAATTCTATTTATTTTAATTTTTCATGACAACAAGTTTACGTATCACTCCGTTCATAGTGGTATGTTCGTCAGGACGATATATGTATTTCAAAAAAGCTGTCTTCATTCATTCGTAAACTTTGCACACAGAAACACCAGGTTATCTGCTGGCGCCCTTTGCTCTTTAATGATATTGGGGTTTTTCTGTTTCCATGGCAACAAGTTTGATTTTTACAAAGTAATGTGTCGTTTACGAAGAATATCTTTTATGCACATGAAGGGACCAAATTGTAAACAGCTGCTGTTAATTTGTGACAGTATTTCAATTATTGCTCTTATAATTTGGTTAGATTACCATTGAAGGATGTGCTGTAACAATCAGATGAATGGTTCCTTCCAAATTCGTACATTCCTTAAAGAACCACTAAACTTTGTTTTTTGTTACTCTTTTAACCATTACATATGAAAGATTTGTGGTTAGTCTTATGCGGAACACCAAATTTATTCTTTAAAAACTTGTGGTTAATTAATACCGAGCGATTAAAAGTGGCCAAAAGGTCGCCTGCTTCTCTCTCGCCCGCCAACGAAACCACAGACAGGTTACGTAACTCTGTCGCCAGAGCACTGCAGTGACGTCATATGAGGAACGATTTTCAGTTAGTTGTATAGAAAATGTGTAGCACGCTCATCATTGTGATGATTTCTCGACATCAACGACGACATGCTGAATCGTTGCTTTGTCGTCAATTGCTCCTAGGGGTCGGGCGATGGTGTCACCATGCACAGATTTCCACAGGACCCCGCAGTTCGTGCTAAATGGGTTATGTTTGTGAGTGCGAAGCGAGCGTTGTGGAAGCCTGAAACGATATCTTACTTTGTGTTCAGATCGCTTCACGGGAAGTTAAAGAATCAAAACTACTTACTAGTTGTAGTAAAATATGTATATGATTGATGACCATAAAGATTTTCCATGACACAACTTGTAACATAACGATTTCTTCCTCGGAAGTGAGGTTGTGGTCGAAGTAACAATAATATTGTAAGTAGTATTATATTGACACCCACCTTGCTGCCAGGAGAGAAATTGTTATGTTATACGCTATGTCATGCAAAATCCTATTGGCCATCAATAAAATAAATATTTTACTACCAGTAGAAAGTAGTTTTGATTTTGTAACTCGGTGAAAACAAACCTAAATAGCATTTATCCTCAGACTGGCGGATGTTACCGACAGGGCGCCGCCATTTTTGAAAATCGTAAAGTCTGTTAGAATTAATGAGATTATAGTTTGTTTTCATCAAGTTAGAAATTCAAAACTACTTTCTACTCGTAGTTAAATATGTATTGGAATCATAACCAAACGGATTTTGCATGACACAACTTATAACATAACGATTTCTTCCACGGAAGCGAGGTGGGGGTCGAAGTGACAATACTGCGCGGTAAATGTCTACATTCACATGGTTATTGTCCACTCACCAGTATGTAGATACTAGTCAGTAATACGTCTTTATATT